ACTCCACATGCACCACAAACATTCGCCGCCATCGTCTGAATCGGTGAGGAGCTTCGTGCATTCAATAGCCGCAGCTGCTCCGTGAGCTTGGCTAACTATTGGGCCATGGCATTATTATTCGAGCCAACCTCATTCACTGCAGACCTTTCCCTCTGACACTTTTCTGAGACGAGTTAGCACTCATCGTCTCATAGATAACAATCTTCTCTTCAACTGTCCTAGCCCCGATATCCCCTCCAGCTGCATTGTCCACCATGTACTGCAAGTTCTGGTGGAGGGAGTCGTAGAAACAATTCGCTAGTAGCCCCGGAGCGAGGTTGTCGTGGGGGCACTGTCTCTGAAGGTCCTTGAAGCGTTCCAAGCCTCGTGAAGAGGCTCGTGCGATAGTTGGGCGAAAGAGACTATCTGAGACCGGATGTCTTGGGTCTTCTGGTGGGAATAGTACTTCCCGACGAATTTAATTAGCATAGACCTCTGGCCAAGTTGTGAGAGAATCTAGGGCTAGGGTCATGAACCAGGATTTAGCCCGATCCTTCAGCGTCTCCGGAAAGAATCGCATCCTCAAATGATCCTCGGACAACCCAGGCAAAGGAAAAGTCTGGAGGACGTTATAAAACTCCCGGAGAAAGTGGAGTAGGTCCTCGTTGGCAAGCCCATGGAATGATGGGAGCTGATTGTAGTGGACCATCTTCAGCTCATAGTTGCGGGCGGCTTGTGGCAACCGGATGCAAGAGGTAATTGGCCCGATCATAGGTTGGGCTAGGTTTCTGAGCACATTACGGGGAGCTTGTTGTTCAGCCATGTCTGAGTTAATTCCCTCGGATGATTTTGGAGAGTGCTGGTCTTTTTCTTGTGATTCCAGCGTCAGCTCGTCTAGCTGCTCTCTCAGGCTCTCGTTAACTAATTTGTTGATTGGAGATAATATACATCCACTCCTAGTACGCATACACTCAAGAAACAATCAGGTTACGAGCACCAATAGTAAACAAGAGAAAATAAAATAAAAACAAAAGCAAAGAACTACCTCCTAAACAAATAAAAAAAAGAAATAAAGAGAAACACAGAAAAACAAGCGAATAAGTGCACAAAATATGTCCTAAACTTTCCCCGGCAACGACGCCAATTTGTTGTAAATATTTTTACCGGAGTAGAATCGAAAGATTCAAACACCGGGCCGTATCACAAGGAAGGTCAGCCGGAATATTGAGCACGTTTATGCACACACAAATAACAAAAATAAAAATGCTAACATACTAATTCAAAGTTTGGATGGTTTTTATTATCAACTACTGCAAATAAATTAAATAAAGCAAGTAAATAGCGGACGATCTCGTAGAACAAATAAGGTTCAAGAAGCTAGGGAGTCGGGGATTCCCGCTTTGGTTCGATATGCAACTAACGGGCAAGTGATTGTTCAGCTAAGTAATTCGAATAATCTACCCGAACAAGGGAATATACTAGAACGGCAAATTGACGAGTCAATTAACTCCTAGGCAATACAGTTACGAACAAGCCTAGTTCATGCGAATCTATTTCGACCGACTCCTCCCGTTTCGGTTCTAAGAGCCGATTAAATAATCCTAGAAGATGGTTAATCAACTAGTCGATAT